GCACGGCGTCGGCGTCTCGTTTTTGTCGAACAGATCTTCCGCGTTGGCATCGGCGTCGGAGGCACAGTGGCTGGTGCTGGGGTCTTTGGAGAGCACTTCTTGTGTGTCGTCGTATTGGTCGGCACGGGTGTGGGTGTCTTGGGCACGCAGCGATGTTTCGGCGGCACGGGTGTCGTTCTGTTCGTGAGCACGGATGGTTTAGGAGTGCATTTCTTGGGCGGGAGCAGACTAGTGCTGTTGACTTGCATCGTTGGTGGTGGTGTCTGCGGAGGTAAGAGCGGAGGCGCGTAGCTTTCGATGGCAGACGATCCTCCATTGGAGCTAGCGATTGCCGCCGTTCCACACAAGACGAGAACCTTGATGACCGACACTAGCAGCATGGCAATCTAAAAGTGGGGTTTCTGTCGATAAATCTGCCTGCCGATCGGGCAAGCCAGCATGGCTTGCATCAATGATGGCGACCCGGCTCGGCCGACTACATTTAGAACGACTAGAACTTTGCTTGCGAATTGCACCATCTTGTGTTACACGTTAGCTCCCCCTAGCGCCAATGAGCTAATTTTAAGTCGCGGCATCCCAAAATGACTGCAGACGAGGACGGTGGAGTATGGATTGATGGGGTCCGCAGTAGGGCTCATCAACGCTAGCAGTGCAGCCTCAACGCATGACCACGAGTTGCAGTGGTGATTGCCAACTGCCGACTAACTTATATTGGCAAGTCAGACTGCGAGCTGTCCATCGACCACCAGAAGGCAAGATTCCCAAGCCGTACGACACACATAATGAAGTATTGTCCGGTGGCCCGTTAATGAGTACACCATCCACCGAGTATTCAAGCACATTACTGTACATGATATGGCCTGTTGCTACAGACGTACTAGTACCTCAAGTCTATGCAGACCAACACGGATCGAGCGAGCCGGATACAATGGGACGTCGCCTCTTACACCAATTGATTCATGCTGGTCGCAGTTTCTTCCCAAATTGGTTACGCCGTAGTTACGCGATTGCAAGAAGATCACAATAGATTTGGATTCAATCATCGATGCCCAAGTTCCTCTACCACGTCTTCCTCACCCACGACTGGTGCACCGACGAGGCTGGTCGCGACAACCACGTTCGTGTCTCTAAAATCAACGACGTTCTCAAGGCCAAGTACAACGCGTGTATGTTGGAACTTGCTCCTCATGCAACGGTGCTCGTAGTGGCATCGTCACGTGGTTCGACGGCGACCGCATGGGCGGTAACATCAAGAAAAAAATGGGCCACGGCATCGAACACTCGGCGCTCGTCGCCGTCTTCATCACGCAGACCTACATGGAGAAGGTCAACGGTACCAACCAGAACGACAATTGCCAGCTTGAGTTCAACATGGCTGGGAATACGCAGACGGCAGCGCGCCTCATTCCAATCATTATGGAGCCTCGCATGAAGGATCAAACCAAGTGGAAATGCGAGTTCAAACTCACGCTCGGCTCGCTTTTCTATTTGGACGCAACCTCCGATAGCAACTTTCTGGAGTTCTCCAACAAGCTTACGAAAAAAGTCAAGGAAATGCTCACCGAAACAACGCTCTTTCCGAACCAAGATGACGTGCTGATCGAGACGACGGGCGACAACCCGATGATGGACAACGTGCGTGTCGACCCACCCAACACGATTCCAATCGACGCTGCTATCCACTCGACGTTGCCGGTGCCACCCAAAAAGGGCCCCAACGGCGCCAGCACTGTCGTGCCGGTGAACAACACCTACCACCCAACGATAGTCGTGGCACCGTCATCGCCTCCAGGTTTGTTGTCATCTGGTGGCGACCGCTTGCGCCTCATTAAGAAGACACTCCTCGGTTGCGGCTGCGTATTGCTGGCGATAATTGTTCTATCCATTTTTGGCGGCTCGTCGTCGTCATCCTCGTCGTCATCCTCGACCTCGACCTCTACCTCAACCGTGACCTCAACCTCCGACTTCGACATCGACTTCAACTAACACTGATGTGGTGATCCGGACAACCGATAGTCGCACGCTACTTTGACCACAAACCCCGACGGACAGCTTAACTTGGTGTGCATGGTCGGGGATGTCGGCGCGACTCGTAGACCAGCAATCCAGCTTTTAATCCCCGAATAGTGACGAAGTGACTCCTTTCGTCTCTGCGCTTGTCTGTCCGTGTAGGAACTGCACTAACGAGACACCGATTCCGACTCATAACCCGTCTTGTATGATATGAAATGATTACTGGTAGGAACGTTAGAGGTAATAGTATAATACTACATGTACCAGCCTTCCAGGGGATTACTTCGTATTGACATCAATTTCAACAGCAATCATTGCGATTGCGTTGTTGATTGGTGTACCTATGGTACCAAACTAGCACATCGAACACCCATTTATCTACTTTCGGCGCCCTTCACTTAATTACAACGGGCGCTACAGCTTCGCCGAGAGATTTGTGAGCTGCCAAACAAATCTAATGCTAAAGAATACGTCGTCGATACAATATTGTTTCTGCACCAAAAGAGCGTTCATGAAATAGTGTTCCCAGCACTTTGATGGAACGGATTGAAACGTCTTTCCTTCGATGGGCGGTCGCCATTTGGTCGGTTGGCGTCGACAAGAGATATGCCCAGGTACCTCTACCACGTTTTCCTTACGCACGACTGGGGTGTCGACGAGGCTGGTCGTGATAACCACGCGCGCGTCTCTCGCATCAACAACGTTCTCAAGGCCAAGTACGTATCACGACCATGAGCATGAAGTATTAACGACCGGCACTAGTGGCATCGTCACGTGGTTCGACGCCGACCGCATGCGCGGCAACATTAAAAAGATGATGGCTGATGGCATTGACCACTCGGCGTTGGCAGCAGTGTTCATCACACAGCGCTATATGGAGAAGGTCAATGGTGCCAACCAGAACGACAATTGCCAGCTTGAGTTTGGCATGGCGGGGAATACGCAGACGGCGGCGCGTATCATCCCTATCGTCATGGAGCCTCGCATGAAGAACTTGGCCAACTGGAAGGGTGAGTTCAAGCTCATGCTGGGCACCCTATTGTACATGGACGCGACGTCCGACGCTACCCTCGAGCAGTTTGCGCTCGAGCTGGTCGCCAAGATCAAGGAGATGCTGGCGGACCCAAGCGTGTTTCCCGAACAAGACGACGTCGTCATTGGTGCAGCCACGAGCGCTGGACTTGTCCGAAAATCCACCGAGTCTGAGGCGCCGCCACCACTGCGCTCCAACGCCATCGCGCCCATCGATATGCCAACGGGCAAAGCCGTCAACCACTGGAAACCGTGGCGTCTTCTCGTTGTCGCTGGTACGGCTGCAATCGTGGTCATCACCGGGGTACTGGTAGTTGTCTTATCGTCCTCGACAACGGTGGACGCGACCAACGAGTCTACGCCGAACGCAACACACGCACCCGCAACTGTCTCGCCATCGCCAAAGGCTAGCACGACGTTTGTGCCGGCTTGGACGCCAACGCCAACGCCGTGGATAGATTTCAATCTATTACCGACTCCAACCCCGACTCTGTGGTCACCATCGACGTCAACCTCATCGCCGACACCAACGACAGCCTCTTCATGGACGCCGTCGTCAGCATCACCAGCGACAACTCCAGCCCCGCTATCGACAACAGCATCAAGTTATGCTTACTTCCCATTTACGCCGTCGTCGTCCGTGTCATTCGTTAGAGACAGCGCGTCGTACTCGTTGAGCACAGTCTGGAATGCGTCGTCGCTCAATGGTAACCCGTACCTCCTTGGCGTCGCGTCGGCAGTGACGCAGATCATTATGAGCTTCGAAACCGGCCTTCTCTCGTGGGCAACAGG